TTTTATATTAATATTAAATAAAAATCACATTTATAGGTTTGTGTCTTATTCAGAAAAAAAAATTAATGTTAATTTTCATAGTAAGCTTCCTTATCTAACAAGATGGCTAGAATTATAATAAACCCGGGCTCAAAACGATTCACTTACTAGAGATGTGACCTAGGCCAATGGTTTAACCTCTCTGAGATTCAGATTCCTTGCTTTTAAAGAGGGGTTGATACTCCCATATGCAGTGGTTATGAATATGAAAAGAAATAACACACACAAGCCCTCAGCATAGTGCTTGGCATAGTGAGATGTTCAACGACACGTTATTCATTCTTCTTTTTCTCTTTTTTTCCTTCCCTCTTTTATCCCAGCTAAAATGTCTACTAAGTGAGAATTTATAAGTATCTAAGCCATAGAAACATCTAGTAAATACTGGAATTTATATACATAGTCTATAATAGTGACAGTCATATTTACTTTATGTACCAACATTTTTATTGCACATATAATTTTTAAGTGTGAGAATTCCTTAAATTTTTATTTCATGCCAAATAGTTATATCCGATATCTTTTTTCCATCAAAATTATTGTCTTAATCCATTCCCCTTAAGTAATATAATTGTTTCTAAGGGCATCAAATCAACATATGTCTTACCAAACATGGCCATCTCTTTATGAATAAAAATATGAAAATAGATGGGGGATAAGTATGTACTGGTGCTCATAGACTGATAAAGTGACACAAGCTACACACACACACACACACACACACACAATGTTAGAGAATAGATTATTTTCCCAAAATACAAGAAATAGTAAAAATTATGTCAAAGATACCTGTGCATTCTCATAGTTCATAAGGTTCAAGGAGGAACATTTGATCTCTTTTAAGTCCTAAAAGGGATAAGTATGTACTGGTGCTCATACACTGATAAAGTGACACAAACCACACACGCACACACACACACACACACAATGTTAGAGAATAGATTATTTTCCCAAAATACAAGAAATAGTAAAAATTATGTCAAAGATACCTGTGCATTCTCATAGTTCATAAGGTTCAAGGAGGAACATTTGATCTCTTTTAAGTCCTAAAAGAAGGGAAGGAATCTCATTACAAATCATGAAAGGGGCTACATAGCAAAAATTAAAGGGAGAAGAGAAAAAAAGAAAAGCCCTCTGTGACATCTTCCTCACTCATGAGTTAACTACTAAGGATATAGCCAGGCACAGAGGTGTGTGCATGTTCCCTGTGTTTCTAGAAGACTTAGAAACCAGGCATTTCGTGTGTAAACCTAGTTTGAGGAGAGCTCATGGAAGGGAGTAGCCACAGAAGTGAAGTATCTGTCTCTTCGTCTTCTCTCTCATCTTCATCTCCCTCTCCTCTCAATCGGGAAGTTAGTTCCATTCTTCAGACCTCCTCAGAATCAGCATGAATATCTGTAGAATATCTAAATGTGACTGACAGGGCCGAAGAGAATATAATCTTATCAAATACTATACAAAAAAAAGAGCTTGTTATAATTTTACCTTAATAATAATAAAAAAAAATAATTGTGGCTTTGAAAAGTGCCTTATAGATTTCTCTTTAGTGCCTGGAACTGCAAATTGGTGTGCAACAAAACCACATTATCTTTATTTTCCATTAAGTCAGGCTCCAATAAATTACCTTCCTTTCTAACTCTTCATATTGGTGCCAGTAGTATTTATATATATGACAGGAGAGACATTTTCGCTGAAAGGTTTTCTATTAACACGATGCTCTGAAAATAAGTGTGATGCAGTCTCAATAGAAAAGGTCTTTTCTGGTTTATTATTTGCTGTATATAAACAATGCTTTATGCAAAATGGGATAGCAATACTTGTCCAGTTATTACTAGGACTTTTTATTCTGGTGTAATTTTTGATAAATGAAGATGTTTTGTTGGTTTTGCACAATATTTACATTGTGTGTAATTGGATAGAGCTAGTAGAAATATAAAAGTCATTCTCTAGTATTTATTTTGTAAGCTCTTTGCAGTAAGTTGACCAGAGGCTTATTTTCTCTCTCTTTTATTGGTTGAAGTGTTAAATAAAGAATTGATTATATAATGCTAAGTCTTATAATTCAGTGTGTTGGAAATATAATACCTGTTTATGACAAATTAAGTGGACAAAAACATTATTTCAAAGAGAAATATTTTCTCCCAATTTCTATTTTGTGTATTAATAGCCATCAGCCTGCATCTCTATGTTGTACATAGGATGACACAGGCAGAAAATTTTTCAGAAGCAACTCAAATTTCCTCTAAAAAGAGAAAATTTTGCATCACGATCTTGTTTTTGCATATCTCCCTAAGATTCTGAAAGATATTTGTAAATAGCCCTGTTGAGTGTGTCTCAGTTACTACATATTTATTGACAACTAGTGCTAACCACTGCACCTGGTACTAACAGTATAAACATACATCCATCTTTTTCCTTGTGCTCAAGAAGCCCCACGATTTGAGTTCCTGGGAACACACATTTGTAGATAACTACCTGTAAAAGAATGTATTCTTTGTGATCCAAACACTGTACTTAGGACAGAAGAAGTAGTTAATTCTAGCTGAGTAACTGAAAAAGATTACATATGAACTGAGTGATTAAAACTGATCAGAAATTTGCTAAGGGGAAAAGAAGAAAGCGAAGGTATTCTGGGTATCTGTGTTCAAATAAAAACCATCTACTCTCCTTTTCCATGCAAGACTAAAAGAAAAATCATTCATTCCTTCAACAAGCATTTAATGAATTTCTACTGTGAACAAGACATTCAGAAACAAGACACTTCTATGTCTGTGTTGTGTTGTAGTCTGTGATTGTTTAGAATCTGGCCATTTTTCTTTGCCCATACTATATATACCACATTTAAAGGTCCAATAAGATGGGCATAGTTTTTTGAGAAAACTGCATTCATTCATTTATTCATTCAGTCAGTCAACCAACCAACAGTACACACTGAGTGCCTGCCATGTGCTCAACAGTTTTTAGGAAACAACACGGCATCCAAGAGTCGTGTCTATCCAGACAAAATTTCATAAAGAACAGGAGTCATGATTGAGTTTGCTGAATGGCCACGGTTAGGAAGAAAGGAGAGAGAGAAGGAAAAGAGGCCTGTAAACCAAAGCAGGCTGATCAAAGGGGTACAGAGAGGAGGGACAGATTAAGGAGATGATGGTGCCACCAATGCCCAACGCAGAGAGACTAGTGGGCCACTGACCTGCTCAGCAGTCCCTGCTTCCATGAAGGCCACTGCCAGGAGCATTGTGTAGGAGCAGCTGGAGCGGAAGGAAACAGGATGAGGACCTGTGGAGATAGAAAAGGAGAAACAGGACAGGTAGAAATGAGGTCTCGAGAAAATGTTCTTCACAGCGGCAGAGAACTGCATGTTTAAAGGCAAAATGGACGTATGGATACAATTTATAATTTTTTTTGGTGTCAAATTTCTTGGAATATTTATTATTTCATGAAAATTCCCTGCTTTGTTTAATACTTAACATATTTTCAGATTAACACAATATATGAAGAACCGTGTTTGTGTTTGTTCACTGAATATGTCACATATTTATGCACTTTTCCACTGTATTTAAATTATAAGATACAAATGGACACTTGCAATAATAAACAGAACATATTTTTCATGATTATTACATCTCATACAATAATTTTGATTTTTATCGCACCAAATAGTTTTCATTGTAATGGCTCATTTTATTCTGAATAATTTTATTTATACACTTAAAATATAAAGTCACTATTATATTTTTGCTATGTAAATAAGCAATGTCAACAGTGGAATTTAAAAGAGAATGATTACAAATGAAAACTGTTATTTTTGAACATATATTTCACAGCATGAGAACAAGTATATTCAGCTGTTCATTTTATAAAGAGAGAAAAATGCATTTAAAATTAGACTTGTACCAGTCAGAGACTATAATTCATGCAGTCTTAAGAAAAATATAAATGCATCATATCAGTGGGTAAAGAAAAAAATCATTTCAATAAAACATCTGGTGATTAAATATCTCTACATAGAATTTTTTTTTTTAAAGAAAAACAGTTGAAAGTTAGGAATTCAGCATCAAGCCTTTAACATGTTTTTAGAATCAGAAAACTATAGAGATTGAACCCATAGAGGGTGATACATAGAAAAAAGTTCTTATTCTGTGAGTAATCTGAGGACACCTACCTTCCATTAACCATTAGCGTTATCACTTTGCTTTCTTCTGAACCAAGATTGAACTTAATTCAAGGTTTGGTGAACCTCAGTATATTAACTATTTTATAAAAGATAACAGACCCTCCATGAATTGAAAATGGGCTTTGACCGATTTTCACAGTAGCGGGAATAGATTTGCACTGATCAGATTGTACTCTTGTGCTTATCATCCTGTGGCTTCAGCGTCACACTGTGAGAGAAGTGTTGCTGGATTTGCCAGGCCGCACGAGACGGAACATAGCCAGCTAACCCACAGGAGATGAAATCTGTGCCCTTGGCTATGCTAACAATGCTTCTGCAGCAGGTCGCTGAGCTAAGGAGGTTACCTTGGGTGGCACCTGGCTAAGCTGATGTAATATGCTCACTCAGAGGGAAGTTGGGAGATCGAGCCAGTTTATCTGGGGCACCTCCTGCTCCCTTCGTAGGTCCTGCTTTAATGCCTCTTTTAACTTCTACATTGCTAGTGCCCTTTTCCCCCTTCCCTTATCTCATGCCATCCCACCCTTATCAAAAATCCCTTTCTCGAAAGATGCTGGTGTGTATTTGTGAAAGCCTAAGCATCAAGTCTCCTGAGGTTTTTGAACATTCTTTCTTCAAAGGATCGTTTTTCTCCTTACAGCTATCAAAAGATAATTGCCAATCATATCCAAAATAAATCATTTGAGTGTTTTAGAAATTTCTCCTACAGATTTCACCACAGTGAGTAGCAGAGATATGACTGGGAGAGAGAAAAGCAGATTTTACATTTATTCATTTTTTTATTTTATAGCGGAAACCCCCAATGGTGGTAGAAGATCTTTTCGAAGACATGAAAGATGGTGTAAAACTGCTTGCTCTCCTGGAGGTCCTATCCGGGCAGAAACTGGTAAGAACTTTTCTGTGATCAGGCTTGTCAAACTTTCCTATTTGGAATTGGCAGTTGTGGAGTTGGGAGCATACAGAGCTCTGCCCATATAAAAGAAAGTTCTCTTTTGTAGTCAGTAAAACGCCGGAAACACTAGTCTGTGGGTCACTTCTGCGAGCAAGGAATACATTTCCTTTCTTGGTCCTGCACACACACCTTTAGTAGATTTGAACATTGGATGTAGTAGCAGCAAACTTGGAAGGAAGAGCAGAGAACTTCCTCAATAATCAATCATGGTTAATTATTATTACATGTGTATGGTACCCAGGAAGCTAGCTGCAAACTAACATCTGCCTCACTTTAAGTGTTTGTTTTTCATTTAGAAAGTATCATTGGTCCTTCCTGTGTATTTATGTAGTTGTCTGTTGAAAACTAAGCCTGAAGTCCCCATGGCATTTTTTTTTAATATGCTTGTGGACATCCTCCATCACCAATCATTTGTAACGGGAACGGCATGTTCAGAATCATTTGTTTTTATGCACAATGGAACCAGCAGAGTAAAAAAGAAAAACACTGACAGTGAGCTGTAAAATCTATTTTCTACATTACTCAAATAATAAACTATTTATTTTTTTCTGGCTTTTTTTTTTTTTTCATTTCAGAGTGGTAGAGAAGTAAGTAGTTTGCAAACATAAACTATTTATAAATGATGTTTACCATAATTAGAAAATGGAGCTCAGGAAATAGTCTTCAGGGTGTTGAATAGCACGCTAGACACAGGGTTCAAAATTGAGGGTATTTATTTATTCTTTACCTCTTTTATCTTGACAAGAGTTATATTACTTGGATAATTTAGTTTTTGAAAAATATGTTTTTGCCTGAATGTAAATTTCCAATTAATTTTGGGCAGGAAACCCTCAAAATTGCTTTTGTAAAAATGCTGTTTGTTAAAAAATACAAACTGGTAATAATGTATTAAGTCATTTACCTAATCTGATTCACAAGGTAGCAGGTGCTGTCTGTGCCCCAGATGTCACCTCAGCTCCCGTCTGCTTTCAGCCACAGCAGTGGTGGACATACCTCTGTACCCTAACAGCCTCTCCACTCAAGCACTGGTAGGAAGCTCTGGGATTCTGTCCTCAGGGTTTATCAAAGCCACAAACTGCAGAAGGCAGCCCTCAACTGCAGAAGAGTTAATGGTCTCAAAGGACCTTCAACCAGTGGAGGCGGGAATCCAAGAATAAATGCTCCAGTATGGCATTTGCAAGGAGGGTCAATTCTAAGGCGTATTTTACACATCTCACGGAGCATCCTGTGAGCCCCAGTTGCCCACAGTGGAGACCTTCAACAGCACATCCTTTATTGGCACCTGCCCCCTGTTTCAGTCCCCACGCATCCTCATTCTTGCTACCTGGGATCATCTCCCCAATCAATTACATGTACCCAAGTCCTTGTCTCAGGCTCTGCTTTGGGGGAAACCAAACAAGACCCATATGAGCCTTAGGATGTAGGAGTTATTTAACTGAAATGTAAAATCCCCAGATTATTGATCATCTTCATTTATCCTCCTGAATTAAGCTATTTCATTAAAAGTTGAAGGAACCAATTCAAACGCATATATTTAAGAAGTGTATTATTCTAAGTGTCAATACAATTCTGCTATTGTACTTGGCTAACAGTATGCAGAAACCTTCACAGGCATTTAACTGCCAAGCTAAATGATTCTAGAAGAAGTATATTATTTTGACATCAGAATCCTACTTCTGTTTAAGTGCCCTACTTGCTCGGACTTAGAATGATAGGATCTTGCAGCTCAGCTCAGTTTCAGAAGGCATCTCAGCATTCTCCTTGAACAGGAAGAGAAACTGAGACACAGAAGGACGCTTTCTGATCGAACCTATACTATTTATTTCTATCGAGCCCTTCAAGATCCTGAATTACATAAATGAATTACTCTGAAATGATAAATAAACCTTGGGGATGTTTCTTTAAAATTTGAACATGTAAACATTATGATTCAGGACCACATTAAGAGGTGAAAAGCATCATTTAGAAGAATGTGGGTCCTAGGCATTCTCCTAGAGCTTTCAAAGGGAGGATGTGGGCAAGAACATTTCCCATGGGACCATGAACACTGCTCAGGGAATCTATAATTATCTCATAAGCGGGATGCTATTAAGAACATAAGACTTAACATCGCCGTTCACATAGCCCAGGACTCTGGCTCTGACTGTGATCTTCTGGGAAATGTGGCCAAATGGCTTTGTACTCCTTTTGCCACCAGCAACTCAGGGGGAGGAGGTAGGCTCTCAATATTCTGGTCCCTCTAATAGCCTATCATCACTCTCTCGTCTATTATTTTTATTTATGGCCCTCAGGAGTTTTTAAGTTTTTAAATTATTATTCTTGGATTCTTCTACATCCCTTGGATATTATTTGTGGAGTGTTTACTCTTTAAATCAACCAGTGATTATATGTTTTAAATCGCACGTAAACATAGGAACACTAAATTTAATGTTATACTTAAGATTTTTTAAGAATATGAAGAATTGCTATTGAAAAATTAGAAATAATAGAAGCAATATTAATAGAGTTTAAGGAGTGCAGAGAAGCTTCTTATCCATTTTAACCTTCTGTACAGTATTTTTCAAATTCTTTGACACTTTACCTTCAAGATGAGTCAACAGTGAACAGTTGGCACTTAGGAAATCTGGAGCATCAAAGACCCTTGTTCGTTCACCAAGTGACTTTATTAATAATCAATCACATATTTAGAGTGGCAAGAACACTTTAATCTCTTAGAGAAATATATAGGTGAATATCTCTGAGACATCGGGATAGGGAAAAATAATAAGACACAAAACATTGACTGTAAAAGATTGCTACACTTGACTAATACTAAAATTAGAAATGTTTTTAAATCAAAAACCTTTAAAGAAAGCGAATAAAGAAATTAAAAATTGGCCGAAGATATTCACAATACACGTTGTGAAAGGATTAAGAAAAGATTATATCAAGAATATATAAAATACATCTTCACAACAATGAAGACAAACAACCCAAAGAGAAACCTGGGCAAGAGATGTGAAAAATCATTTTACAAAAGGGACAGACGTTGCTAGAGAACAGAGGAAGAGACAGTCACGTCATTATCAGGGAAACGCAAAGAAAGACCGCAGTGAAAGACCATGTTACTCATTCAACTGAAAAAAAAGATTCAACGTCTGTCGAAATCGAATGTTAGGATATTCATCGGTGGAGTTATAATCGTATTGCTGAAAAGAGTGAAATGTAGTGCAAGCACTTTGGAAGAGTTTGGCATTACTTTAGAAGTTCAAAAGCCACATTGCCTCTGACGCGGCAATTCCGCTCTTAGCTTTGCATCCAGGAGGGACTCTTTATCCTTGTACCAAAGGTTGGATGTGCAAGAGGGATCTGTCAGCATAGATCACGGTCAACATAGCCAGAAAATAACCCAGATTCACATCAAATGGAGAGCAGATAGATGTCACAGAATATAGCTGTCAAAATGAAGGAAACACGTGACAGGCAACAACCTGGGTGAATCTTAGGAACCAAATATTATGTGGAAAAAATTCAGTCTCAAAAGAGTAACACAGTGATATCCTTTATGTAAAGCTAACAACCAAAATAAATGTTATTTTAAAGAATGCATATAAATAAAATGAATTCATATGAAAAGGAAAGCGTTGGACTGGATTTGCATGATGATTGCCATGGATGTGGGAAGGCAGGTGGATGGGTGAATGCTGGTGATATTGAGGGGTGTGGCTTTCATACTTAATTTCTGTGTCCTGGCTTTGTTTTACCTGGCAGATTCGTAGGTGCTTTTTACATTATAGAAGATACTTAATTAAATAACTAAGTGAGTGGGCCATGCATGGACCAGTGATGTCAAGTAGAAGGAGGTTCTCGAATTAAGAATAAATAGAAATCAAAAAAATTTAAAAAGTACCTTTTTTATTTAAATATTTGTTTAAAATCATATCATGAAAATTATTACCTGATACACTATTGATTGGAAAATAAAAGGTACTCAGTTTGAAATTTCAGTGGGAGAATGTTTAGTGTCACAGAGAACTCAGTTATGCAACTGTGGAGAAATTGCCTCAATTATGCATTCGGTTCCTGTAGGTGTAAAGGAGACTAATGCTATCTATTTCACTGAAATTGTTTTGAGTTTTAAAATTAACATCGTGACACGTAGAAAGCACACAATACATTTTATTAACTCAAACATAGGCAACCAGAATATACCATTGTGTCAATAACATTTTTATTCTCAGAATCCCATTTTTTAACCTTGGCTCATGTGCTCTAAGTATTTTGGTCATCCAAACGGAGTGATGTTCCTAATACTGTCAATAACCCCTCATGCTACTTTAACCGAAAAAAAAAAATAATGGTGAGTGACCAAGAGTCCATTCTTTTCTTCTTTAAATCTCCTTTTTTTAAATTAAATTTATTGGGACGACGTTGGTTAATAAAATTATATAGGTTTCAAGCGTACCATTCAATAGTATGTCGAAGTAAGTCAGACAGAAGTAGAGAACCATATGATTTCACTCATATGTGGGATATAAAACGAGAAGAATACTTTTTTAAAGACTTTATTTTTTAGAGCACTTTTAGGTTTACATCAAAATTCAGAGAAAAGTACAGAGATTTTTCATAGACCCCTTGCCCTCACACATACAGCAAGAGTACTTTTCATATAAATATTGCCAGTTTCAATAGAAAACGTAGGAATTTTGTAAATTTCTGCTCTAAGACCTACAGAAACCAGAAAGGCAAAGGCATTAACAGATAAGCTGAGAATGGATGCCTGTATTGAGTGAATTAATACCCATATGTGGTCCTGTATGGATAATGCTCTTTTGTGCATAGGCTGACCTTTATAGAAATTGAGTTATGCTGGTGGTTCTTGAATATTCTTCAAGTATATTTTAATACATATAAATAGATTTAATAACTATCTTTTTAATGTGTGCATTTGGCCTATTCCTGTTCTCCTCCTGCAGCCTTGTGAACAGGGACGCCGTATGAAGCGCATCCACGCCGTGGCTAACATCGGCACGGCACTCAAGTTCCTTGAAGGAAGAAAGGTGAGAGAAACTAAAACACTTCAAGAAGGAGGTGTGGGCATGCCAACGGTTTCGATATTGTCTGTGGAGAAAAACCCTGCACGTAATCTGTGCAGCATACACATGCAATATTATCATTATTATTGTTAGACTTACAGAAAAGTGGCAAAAAGGGCAGAGATTTCACATCTATGTTTCACGAGCCAGTTTCGTCTCATGTTAAGAATTTACACATAGCATGTATACGTATGGAGAGTGTCATTCCCAAAATGTGGAAGTTAGCATCGGTATGTTACTGTTAACTAAAGAATAGACATTTGTCTAATTTCATCAGTTTTCCTTCAGTGTCTTGTTTCTGTCCCGGGGAGCAAGCAGTAACACACCTTGCATTTGATCGTTGTGGCTGCTCTGTTCCTTCGGCTCTGTGATGGTTCCTCATTCTTTCCTTGTCTTTCATAACTTTGACACTTTTGATAACTGCCGCTCAGCTATTTTGGAGAGCATCTTTCGAGTTGGGTTTGTATGAGGACATCTCATGATTAGATCAAGGTTATACACATTTGGCAAGAATTCCAAGGAAGTGATGTCGCATTCCGCGTGCATCATATTAGTGGATATAGGATATTAGTGGATATAGGATACGGACATATCTTATTGCTGGTGATGTTAAGTTTGGTCACTTGTAAGGTCATCTGCTGTTTTTTATTTTTAATGGTAAAATTCTTATTTTCCTTTTATAATTGAGAAACAGCTTAGATGAGATCATTGAGATCATGCTAACATTCTGCTTTTCCTCAAACTTTGCTCCCTGATTTTAGCATTGATTGCCTTCAGTAATTAATTTATGTGCCATTTGCCTAATGATGATTTTGTATTTCCCTCATTTCCTTCTACATGTATTAAAGGGAACTGTTCTGTAAGAAAAGATGTCTTTTCTCTCCCCATTTATTCATTCGATTACTTAGTTCAGCATAGACTCATGGATATTTATTTTATTCTATAGTTATAATTGAATACTACTATTATTACCACCATTTTGTCGTTCGAACCGTTCTAGCTTGGCCATGAAGAGTTCTTTCAGGCTGTCTCCTGCTTGTCTTGTATTTTCCCTGCCCCAGTCCTGTAAATCAACCACTTCTCTAAGGAAGCCTTATTCCTTCTACTGGCAAATGGCAATTAGAAGCCAAAATTTGATTGCTAAGTATGCTCATTGCTACTGAGGTTTCATTGCTCCTGAGTCCTCTCAACAGGCAGATCTAGAAAATATGTTTACTAACCTGGATGTCTTTCTCTGTCCTTCTCCATAGCTTCTGCTATGTGTGTGTGTATAAACCATTAGCTCGAGCCGCTACTTCTGATTTCAATCTAACACCACAAGGTTTATTTTAACGTTCCATGCTTGTTAGTTTCTGCTCTCTCCTGCAGTGAGACCCTGGCTCTCATCTACAATATACTTACTCATTTTTCAGCCCTGGTATGCACATGAAGTAGTTACAGAATCGAAACCCATGCCCTTATGAGAAACAGATTTACTAACTGGAGAACCTTATTTGTGTGCGTTTTTTTGGTCCTTAGCATTACAATATTTAGTCAAAAAACTGTTTTCCAAATTTGCTTAGGTTACTTCTGTTTTTCCCATGCTAAACTTTTAGTGTGATTACGTTATTCATTTAGAGTTCAGGTAATAGAGTTCTATCCCATTTGAGTAACGCCTTCTCCCTCCCCAAACATTCTAGTTAATTACTTTTTTATGTATATGCTGGGGAATGAGATATTACTATGATTCTAAGAATAAAAGTTATACTTAGAGAAGTACCACTCTAATTCTCATTCTTATCGCTCCATTATCATTTCCTTCTGTTTCACTCCCCTTCACACTTCTAGGTAATCGGTCTCTCTCATTTCTCATTTACCATGCCTGTATTTCCTTTGCACAGAGGAGCAGTGTATTTTCACGTGCCACCTTCTTTCTTACATGAAGAGTACCGTACTTACCGTACTATCGACACACTCTCTCACTTTGCTTTTTTCATTTAACGGTACGTCTTAAAATCATCCAACTCAGTTCATGGAGATCCTCATTCATCTTCACAGCTGTATGATATTCTATTGTCTGGACGTGCCAGAGTTTATTTAACAACCCTCTTATGAATGAGCATTTAGGTTATTTCTAATATTATTCCAACAGAAATAATGATGCAGTTAATAACTGTGCATATATACTTTCATATTATTGCAAGTGCATTTTGGGAGTAAATTCCTTTCGATTGTTGGACCTAAAGGTAAGTGTACATGTAGTTTTGTTAGGTGTTGCCATATATCTTGCCAAAAGGATTGTACCAATTCTCTTAGATTTCATCCCCTTCCCAGATTTTATGGAAAATTTTTCAGTCTCTTTGGATGTCTTTCTATTGCCCAACCCACCCTCCTATGCTATTAAGATGTTATTGTAAGTTTAACAGGATTCTGCAAGAGAGAGAAGGTGGGAGGTGGGAACCTATGCTCCATAAACCCATTGTGGAGCACACAGTTTTTAAAGAGAGAAATTAATTCTGAAAAACATTTTTCTTCTCAAGTTGAGCAAAAGATCATTAGGTTCTATAATAAGCTGCATATGTTAGCTTCATGGTACAGTGGGTTGCGGTAGAAAATTCAACTTACATTCAGCCACGTTTTTAAAAAGAATAGTATACAAGGAAAGAGAAATAATCTGGCCTCTGCGAAATGCATTACGGCCTCCCTCGGTATCGGGGCGATTGGCTCTGGGACCCTTCAAATACGAAATCCAAGGATGCTCAAGTCCCTCATATAAAATGGCCTAGTATCTGTGTATAACCTCTGCGCATCTTCCTGCATCCTTTAAATCATCTCTAGATTACTTATAATACCTAATACAATGTAAGTGCTATATAAATAGTTGTCACACTGTATTGTTTAGGGAATAATGACAAGAGATAAAAGTCTACCTTTTCAGTGCAAACACAACCATCATACACAACCATAGTACACGTCGGCAACAATGTAACTTTTTTTAGAGTATTTTCCATCTGGTCTGGAACCCAAGGATACAAAAGGCCAACTGTAATCTTATCGTTATTGGGATATATTCTAAATTTGTGAGCCATGGATACTAAAATAGATGTGGAGAATATTCTGGATAAGTTTTGAAACTAATCAGAATGATTATAAAGACTGCAATAGGTTCCGTTATAAAAGGTTAAAGAAATTCAATGCTTTTATTGTTCACAAACATGTTGTAAATGTCTTACTCTGCGCTAAATTTAAAATAAGTAGACATATAAGCTTATAATCTATAGCACTTCTTAATTTTTTTTTTGTCTTGGAACATGATGAATGAACATTACCAGTGAGGCAAAAATCCCATGGATTTATTTCAAATGATTTTATTTCAAATTATTTCAAATGATTTTTGTGCCAGTTTTACACTATCTTTATTGAGGTATAACTAGTAAATTTAAACTAATACTAAAGCATAAAGCATTTGTGAGATGATTTTTGCATCTGATAAATTTTTATTAAAGTTAACCATTTATAAATTCTGAACTTTATTATTATTAATAATACATCTCATGAAATCATGGCTGAGAATTATTGAGCTAGAAGTTTAAGGAATACTTTATTTTTTTTTTTTGTATTGGTTTAGGGATTATGAGAAAGATGATGAGCAGTTAATTGTATTCTATCGAGAGTGACTAAGATAAATCGATTTTGCTTGGACTTAGAAATAACTTTTTTAATAGTTGCGAAGGCATTGAAATGAAAATTGGGAACAATTGTAGACAGATTAATATGTGTCCTCAATACTTTATAGTTATCAGTGCCCCAAAGTAAGGAACTGAACCTTAAACGTCTCTTTCTATTTTACTATTTCTTACCTTTCCTTTGTCTTTAAAATATATTCCTCAAATAATGCTCTAAATTTACTACCTACATTTTTATTCCCTTTGAACAAACGCTGCTGATTTTGAAAGGCTATTTATGTGTGTATATCATCTTCTCCCTTTGTTTTTCATGTCAGTCCATGTACAGAGGATCACCGGTTAGTACAAATTTTAGAATCTTTAACTCCTGACTTTTATAGGTAAAAGAGAACATAAGTTTCATGCTATTTGGTAGCAAACTTCAAAGTAAGTGCATCTTCTTAAACTATTTATCACAATTTCTTTTAAGTTCCAGTCAACTTCTAAATGTAAAGAATGACCTTTTTTTTTTTTTTCTGTCTGGCATTTTGTTGGTAATTCTTTGCATGATGCCACGTTTTTTCAACTTAAACAAGTTTTTGAAATTCATTTGATAGTAATTTTTATTGTGTGCACCTAATGAATGCTCTTGAAATTTCCACTGAAACCATGTGCCTGTTTGTTTTTCTGGCTCACATTACTTACTTGTGTGTGTTAATATATAGGCATGACCGAGTTTTATTGCTGTCTAATGAAGTGCTCATTATTGCGTACTTAAACAAGCTATAATTTTCTAGTACATTACTAGTACAGTTTTTCTTTTTAAACAGATTAAATTAGTCAACATTAACTCTACCGATATCGCTGATGGCCGACCCTCAATAGTTCTTGGACTGATGTGGACCATTATTTTATATTTCCAGGTATTGTGCTACAGTTCCCTTTTAAGTTGTATAATGTCATGGAGGGAGGTCATAGCAGATGTTTAATGATGCTCTGTCATTTGTCATGCCTCTGGGGTTGATCTTCAAGCTGGCAGGCATGTGACTTTCACAGATACATTGTTTTTTGGAAGCAGAATTTCCTCTTCTTCCCTGTAAAGGTGTTATAGATAAAACTCCCCCAAAGAACTCTGGCAAAGGCACCCACTCTGAAAAGTGGGCAGAACACAGTGAAGATGAAATGTTGGTACAGGAAGTTCAGAAAATTTATCTTTGTTATCTTGGAAGGGAGCAGTTCTATGCTCCCATTAGATGTTAGGGGGAGAAATTAACTTGCCATTCCGTTCACAATTGTAGCTCTAGCCCTTAGATTTTTTTTTTTTTTTAATTGACTTTATTTTTTAGAGCAGGTTTAAGTTCACAGCAAAATTGAGTGGACGGTACAGAGATTTCCCATACACCCCCTGCACCTACACACGCATAGCTTCCCCATAATGCCCCCTCAGAGCGGCATATTTGTTACAATTAATGAACCTGTATTGACACATCATTGTCAAAGTCCATAGTTTACATTGGGCGTCACTTTTGGTGTTGTACATTCTATGAGCTTAGATAACTATTAGATTTTACTTATTTGTTCTTGTATTTAACAAGTTTTAGATGCAGGGAGACATACAAAGAGTAGAGTAGAACATCAGTCCTGCCATTTAAGAGCTTACTTTTTGCCAGCTGTGTTAAGATAAACCATTTTTAGTTGAAAAAGTGAAACATCTGAGGGAAGAACAAAGATAATTCTTGTATTTCTGTCGACTGTGAACGTACAGATCGAAGAGTTGACCAGCACCCTGCCACAGCTGCAGTCCTTG